GCCTATTCAAATTCAGCGTTCCCTCGCTGTTGAGTATCACCTACAGCCTCGTGAGAATTTTGGCGATTAAACAGTTAACTAAGGAATTACGGAAAGATATTCACCCTTCAAGATTTCGAATTCAGCTTCATGCGCCAGTGCGTGAAATTTTTAACTATTTTCCAATTTTTGAACTATTTTTGCATAGACAACAGTACAAAGCAGTGAAAATCGTTAATAGGCAACCGTTCGATGGGCTGAATTGCACAAAACGCACGATCGCACCAGCTAGTCTGGTGCGCGTTGCTATTTATTTCTATTTCTCTACCATTTTGCTTGTTTGGAACCACAAGCTAGAAGAAAGAAGACCTAGGCAGTGACACAACAGACTTGCTGGTGCGACCATGCGCTTTCGCATGATTCCGTCTTGTGGAGTGTGACTGCGAAGTTGCAATTTCAAAATTTGATACGTCGGCACGCAAGGTCCATACCCGGGCAGAAGCTCATCTTACACTCTGTGACCTGCACATAAACAGCAAAACAATAACAATCTTCAGAAAAACACTGCTTCTTCTCAGTCTGGTTGCCGAGCTAACTGAGTGCCAACAGTGCTCTGAATCAAACTTTTGCTTGCGCGCACGTGAGGCATGAGCCTTAAGGCTGAATTTGAAATATTTAGGTTGCCCATTGCATGAAATATCCTCGTAAATTTTCGGCTTCATAGTTCGATTGGTTAGCGAAGTCGTTTTACGCTATAAATATATATATATATATATGTCTTTGACGTGACCGAACGCGCGCCACAGGTATGTGCCGAAGCTCATTTTGCACCCACTTGTCCATTTATGAAAAAAATTTCTGTTGTAAAGTGGGAACGTTTTAACAATCTGGTTTCTCGAATTAGCGTTTTAACAGCGGTGAAGAAATCTCAATTTTGATTTTTTAATACATGCATGTACTTGCGTTAAAACTGATTTTTAAATCTTCAGCCCACGTAGAAGATCTCAATAAAATATCAGCTTCCTATTTGCTCTGGCACTCGAAATCACCTTCACACCAAAAAATTTCGCGCGAATTCTTTTAGACGTCCGTATATGAAAATCATTGGCGACGCGCACTGGGGGGCCCAGTATGATCATGCATTTTTGCAGTGTTTTGTACTGCAATAAGATCACTCGAAATTTCGCTAGCTAGAAACCTCTTGTACATACTAATCCTCAAACTTCGGGAAGTTAATTATCCACGCTATACTTGGACAGGGAATATTCCTTTGAAATCCCAGGTTCCCAGCTTTCTCAGTTCCCGAGTTACCCAAATTCTAGCCAGGAAATTTCACAGGGCCGTACGTGGCAACCACGCGTAACGGGGAGCTGAATTTAATAAATTGAAGCTGTAGGTGAGTTGGGAACATTTCCGGAAAGATTCAGCCTCCCAGCCTCTCTGGTTCCGGAGTTAGCCATTTTTGTGCCAGGAACCTTCACGGGGCCGTACGCGGGGACCACGCACCCCCAGGGGCTAAATTTGAAATCTTTGAGTTCTATGTGGACGGGGAACACAATCCCAAAATTTCAGCTTTCGAGCTTTTCTGG